GCTGAGTCCTGATCCCCTTCTCTTCAGCTAGACTCCAGCTGGCTGAGTCCTGACCCCCTTGGCTGCGGCTAGACTGCAGCTGGCTGAGTCCTGATTCCCTTGGCTGCAGCTAGACTCCAGCTGGCTGAGTCCTGATCTCCTTGGCTGCAGCTAGACTCCAGCAGCCTGGGCGGCCGATGCAATGTCGCCCTGCGGGGAGGGCGTGGCCTGACGCGGACCCGCAGGGTGACGTGTTTATTTGTCAGAGGTGCGTGCACAATCTGTCGACGTCCGCCCTGGTCACTTTGCCGGAAAGGGGCGTGGTGCTCACGGCAATAGCATCACCTCGCTAGTTCCCAATGAAACTACTGGCGTTAACGGCGAAAGGACGTGCGTTGTTACTTCAGTCACTGACTGAAATAAGTCGCGTTCTCTTTTTGCACTGTACCGCTCCCGCAGCCTAGTCTTCTCACTCTAGTCATCCCGTACTGTGCTCCACCCCCCCTTCCTCCTCTTACGTCTTACTGTCGCATTGACTCGACGATGATGCTGATGCTTGGTACCTTACCGGCATGGACCGGGCCCAGATGTGTAGCACCACCTTGTTCTCGTTGTTGCGTCCAAACTTAGCCTTGATATATCGCCTTATGACTGTTTATATCAAACACATATAGAAAATAATTGTTTTTCTCTCTATTTTGGCAGAAACTTTGCTGTACAATACGGTGCATCGTATTCAGAGTCTGCATGAAGTTCACACAAGGCCGCTGGAAACAGAACGAAAGGTACTGGATCGCACGGTGTCCGAAGCTCCTCAGATGGATCTGCTGCAGACGCATCTGCGAAATCATCGTGAGGAAGAAGAAATGAAATCAAATCCGGTCGACTGCTTGATGCGTGAAGCTCCCCTAATGGACCCGTGGCAAGAAGAAAATGAAGACAAAAAAGTGCTTCCTGAGAGTTCAAAGATATGGATGAAGTTTCCAGATCACCGTAGGAAACACAGCTATGCTCTTATGCATACCGGAGAAAAAGAATCTGAATGCAGTGTGTGTCACAAGAAGTTTTCATTTGAAAGAACTCTTCGACGTCATCTCCTAACACATACCGGATGGAGAGAACTTGAATGTCAAGTATGTCACAAGAAGTTATCACGGAGCGATCATCTTCGACGTCATCTTCTTAAGCATACCGTAGGGAAAGAATTTGAATGCATTGTGTGTCAGAAGAAGTTTTCACAAAGTGGTCATCTTCGACGTCATCTTCTAACGCATACCGGAAAGACAAAAAATGAATGCACTGTGTGTCACAAGAAGTTTTCAGGGAGTGGTCATCTTCGACGTCATCTTCTTACGCATACCGGAGTAAAAGAATTTGAATGCACTGTGTGTCACAAGAAGTTTTCACAGAGTGGTCATCTTCGACGTCATCTGCTTACGCACACCGAAGAGAAAGAATATGAATGCACTGTGTGTCACAAGAAGTTTTCAGAAAAAGGTACTCGTAGAAAGCATCTCCTAATGCATAGCGTAGGGAAAGAATTCGAATGCACTCTGTGCCACAAGAAGTTTTCAGGGAGTGGTTATCTTCGACGTCATCTTCTTACGCATACCGGAGAGAAAGAATTTGAATGCACTGTGTGTCACAAGAAGTTTTCACAGAATGGTCATCTTCGACGT